CCTCCTCCCCCTTCTCCTCCTCCTCCGTCCTCCGTGTTCCTCCTCCCCCTCCTCCTCCTTTTCCTCCTCCGTCGTCCACCTTCTCCTTTTCTTACTTCTCCCTCTCCTCCTCCTCATCCGTCCTCTTTCCTTACACGTCAGGCAAGAAAGATACAGGGCCGGTTGCCTTGTGCGAGCATGCAGGACATCGCCGACTTAGACGAAACAGCGAACAAATTAGGCCGCGGACGGGTGCACGAATGGCAACTCAAAGAAGGAAGGGCAAATAATAGTGGACCACAAGGGCGAAAATAACCCAGTCCGCGGCCGTTGTCCTCCTCCTCCTCCTCCTCCTCCTCCTCCTCCTCCTCCTCCTCCGTCCTCCTTCTTCTTCCTCGGCCGGTCGGCCGACGTGCAGAAGGTCCATGCGCAGATGGGAAGATGAAACGACAAAACCAACGGGTGAAGAACGTAGCAGCGGCAACCGCCGACCAGCGAGAGGAAAGCACTGCCAGACACCACGGCGTCGTCCTGCCGACAGGCAGTAACCAAGCGCATGTCGAGCACAGTATTTTCCGCAAGTCTGCAGCATCGTACGTACGTGTTTAAAGGGGCCCCAGAACACACAAATAAATACACACAAATAAAAATATGCCCCATATTTTCCTATATTTTCTGGGTTTTTGTCTTCCCCCCCACTTCCCATATTTTTGCACATTCTCCTGGGAGTCGACGATTAATTGTGTCTGTGTGTTTTTTTTCCCTCCTGAGTGTCCGCGGACTCGGCGGACAAATCAAACTTTTGGTGAGTCGAGGTTGTCGTCGACCCCACGTCGGAACACCGGCGTGCCGTCGCGCAGAGTGCATGGTCCCTCGAGCGGAGCAGAGGCAGGCCGGCGGGCCCCCCCTCCGGCTACTGCCAGAGGTGCACCCAGGCCCCGAGGCTCCTCCTCCTCCTCCTCCTCCTCCTCCTCCTCCTCCTCCTCCTCCTCCTCCTCCTCCCCCGAGGAGCGTGCATCCATACACCCTGCGATATGCTTAAGAAATCATGGTATAAGAAATTCATAGTAGCAGAATTTGAATAAAAAACCAAGCACTTCTATTAGCATCTTGGGATCTACATTGAAAAGTTAAGAATAATCGAGACTCTAAACGAAAACATGGGTTTTCTTAAGCATCGCCTAGAGTGTACTGCCAGAGGTGCACCCAGGCCCCGAGGCTCCAACACACAGCGTGGGCACTACCAAGGTGGTGGCGCGCCAAGAGGAGCCCTTCGGCTCGACAGACTCTCCCTGTGTTGTCCTCCCGGGTAGCTCAGAGATGCGTGCACGGCAAGAACACGCCCGAACCGCAGTCCACAGGGAGGGGGAAGAGGTTTGATCCCCACACTTGCTCCTCAACCTCCTCCTCCTTCCCCTGCTCTTCCTCCGTCCTCCCTCCTGCTCTTTGTCCTCTTCCGCTCTCCTCTGGCCTCCATCGCTCTCATCCGTCCTCCTCCTCCTCCTCCTCCTCCTCGATGGCTCAATGGCGGTTCGAGCGCCACCCCATTAGACATGCGTGCTAAAAATTGTGAGGGTTGGGAGCCCAAGCCGCGAGAGGAGGGGCGAACGGCTTCCTCCTCCTCCTCAGTTTGTTTCTTTCTTTATTTCTCTCTCTCTCTCTCTCTCCCCCCCGAGGAGTGGGGGAGACGGGAAAGGACAAGGAGAACGGGAAGGAGGGGCAGGGGAAGGATGACCAAATGGCGGGGGAGGAGAGGGAAGTGGAGTCGGGGGATGGGGGAAGGCGGCGAGGGGGGGAGGGCGGTGGAGGGGGCAGGACGAGACGGAAGGGGAGGAGGAGGGGGGAGCGGAGGGGGATGAGGAAGTGGAGGGGGCCCCCTCCTCCACCAACAAAAATGGAAGTGATGTGTTCAACCCAGCATGTGTGCGCGTCTCACAAAGATTGGCCCTGCGGGAGACCAGCAAGCCTGGAAATGGCTTGCTGCTCCAGGACCCGGGGCCAAGAGCCTGCGGATCTGCGATGACAACATCGACACATCGTGCGCTCGCTGGTGGCTATGCCGTGCTGCCAAGTGAGGTCCTCCTTCTCCTCCTCGCCCCCCTGGCATTGGGGGAGGCGGCGGGGGCTGAGGGGTTGAGGAGTTAGAGGGAAGAAGAGGAAAAGGAGGAGGATGATTGGGGGGGAGGAAAGGGGGAGGAAGGAGGAACAGGAGGGAAGCGGATCAGGCGTCGGCGGACGGATCCTCTTCGGACACCCATCACCGACCAAAACGTGACTCTAGCGACGATCAACAACGAGCCTTCCGCGAGAGGATACAACGACTTTACGCCGCGGCTCCCGCGGGCCGCCAATAAAACAGGGCTAGGATCGGGATAAATCGCTCCAGAGCGTTCCGGAGCGCTCTCAGAGCGTTCTGCAACGCTCTGGAGCGGCCGCGGCGCCCAGTACATCCGCCAAACCCGCCGAATCTCAGAGATTTCGAGTTATCCCGATCCGATTTTGTCCCGATCTTCGCGTCGTT